GTCAAAGTAGATTATAATGCTCCCTTCTCATCTTGGGGTGAAAAGAAAAAAAATTCTGTGGCACTATGAACTGACAGCTATTGAATAGAGCTTTAGAAATCTGGGACTGCCTACTGGGTGCTAGCAAATATTTCAGTTTTACAGTACCTCTAAAGTAACAAAAGGAGGATGAAGATTATGAATGATGCTTCAAAATGAGATATTCACACATTAATAGCTTGAAGGAAAAAACTCTGCCTTCAGAAAGAGTTATGGAAGCACAGGCTTCTTTCCTTCTAGCTCTCGGCTTCGGCGTGTTTCCTTTCCAAACTATTATAAATTTAAACATTTTAACTGAGCTTTTGTTATTATCCAGACCATTTGTAATGTTTCAACTGGAATTAGCACAGCTGCTAATGTGAAGGGATGAGGATTATCTTTGCTGGCTTTAAAAAATACAAGTGGCAAAGGATTATCACAAAGGAAGAGAATGATGCTCAAAACTAGAAAAAAAAAAAAAATACAGAAGCTTGAAAAGACAACCTGCCTTGAGAAAGTATTATAGAGCTCCAGAGTTTTCCTTGTAGCTACCCATTCGGATTATTTCCTTTTGAAACTCTGTCAGCCTAGTGTGTCTTAAAAGACTATATAAGACAACACTGGACAAAGTGGTATTTTGTAAGTAATGAATATCGCTGTAAAATTAACTCCATATTTTTCCTCAGTTTACTGTTCCAAAGGTTATTGCTATTTTTTTAGAAATATAGATACAAATATGTGTTGTAAGCAGCTCTGACAAAGAGCTCTGTATTCTGTGATACTTGAGAACATAGCATATTACAAATTAATCATTAGTCTGCAATGTTTTGTTAGATTTTAAAAAATGATAGTATTTTATACTAAACAAAAATTCATCTCAACATCGTTAGCTTGCAGCTTTTTTTCCTGTTTTATTCAAACCACTAAGGGAATAAATATGGAAAATAATATGGCCTCTAAGAGGCACCTGCCAGGGAGAGCAGCTTGAACTGAGACATGGTTGACATTTTTCAAAGGTTCTTTTGCTGGGGGGAGGGTGGGAAGGGGGAAAGAGAAAAAAGTGGCCTTTTCCTCAAATCAAATTTGGCCAAACCCCCCCCCCCCAAAAAAAAGTGTTGAGGTTTCTCTTTCATTAAATATTTTGTGCTGTTTCAGAGATTTTTCTCCAGAACCACAAAGGCAAGAGGTCATAGCCAGATTCTACCTGTCTGGAGACAGTAGGCAGGCAATTGGTTCTTAGCCCTACACTATTTAACATTTTTATTAATGACCTGGAAAAAACTAAAATCCTCATTGATAAAGTTTGCAGAGGACACAAAAATTGGGGGTGGGGGGGTGGGGGGAGTGGTAAATAATGAAGAGGACAAGTCAATGATACAGAGACACCTAGATTATTTGATAAGTTTGGTACAAGCAAATAATGTGTTTGAATACAGCTAAACTTAAAATGTATAGCTCTATGAACAAAGAACGTAGACCATAGTTCCAGGATTGGGGACTATTGTGGAAGCAGTGACTCTGAAAAAGATTTGGGGGTTGTGGTGGATAACCAGCTGAAGATGAGCTCGGTGTGACACTGTGGCCAAAAAAGCTAATGCAATCTTGGATGCCTAACCAGGGGAATCTCTAATAAGAGTTGCAAGCTATTTTTACCTCTGTATTTGGCACTGGTACAACCACTGATGGAATACTCCATTTTTGGTGTCCACAATTCAAGAAGGATGTTGATAAATTGGAGAGTGTTCAAAGAAGAGCCACAAGAATGATTAAATTATGAGAAACCATGCCTCATAGTGACTGAGTTCCTTGAGTCTATTTAGCTTAACAAAGAGAAGATTAAAGGGTTATTTGATTATAGTCTATGTACCTACACATGGAATATTTAGTAATGAGCACTTCAATCTACCAGAGAAAAAGTATAGCACAATCCAGTATCTGGAAATTGAAGCTAGACCAATTCAGACTGGCATACATTTCCAACAGTGGGTGATTAACCATTGGAATAATTTACCAAGGGTCATGGTGGATTCTTCATCCCTGACAACTTTTAAGTCAAGGTTGGATATTTTTCTAAAAGACTGCTCTAGGAATTATTTTGGGGGAGTTTTATGGCCTGTCTTATACAGGAGTTCAGACCAGATGATCACAGTGGATGAATCCAGAAAGTTTTGGAAAGAGAGTAAGAAGGGATCTCTAAAACTGATTATATGGAAAAAATCATGAAAAGAGGAACAACAGGAGAATAAAAGGAGACCCTGAGAACATGGAACAAATTAACTGTTCTATTCTAGAGACTGATTCAAAACCCCATTTCAGAACAACCAGAATCTTTCCATTGGCTTAAATGGGCTTTGCATCACGTCCCAAATTGCTAAATATTATTACATAGATTTTAATTCTGTGAACAGAACACACAACCTTCTTTGTCCCCCACAGTATTAGGAATTACCCCAAAGGCATAGTAGTAAAGTTTAGTGCTTTCATTAAGATTATTTTATTTTAAAAGCTAGTAAATTAGATGCTATCATGGTCTTATAACCAGTTATTTTAGTAGAAAAATAGGATAAGTAACTGAGGAAATGTGGCAATGTGGATTTGGCGGGGAGTGGGGGAGAGAAGATGGGAAGTTCTTTATATCCTTTCAAGAATAAACTTTGTATTACATATCAAGTCCTTTGATCTATAGGAGGCCCGGACGATCAACACATGGGAAGAAACTAAGGAGGAGCATGTGGAAAACCTCTGGAGACAGGCAAGACAAAAATAAAATGAGCCTCAAAAGAAAACCAGGGAGCCAGCCCATCAGATGCTGAAAGGAATGAGGACGAGGAGAGGACAAGGAGATACAGGATTCAATAAAATGTCTGACTGTGTCAAAATTCGTGAGTCAGAATATAAGACTAATTTGGTATTTGAGGAAAACATCAACACTGCAAACAGGAATCAGTAAGTCTTGTACAAACTAACTTCCGGGGGGGGGGGGGGGGGGAGGAGGAGGGAAACCAGGCTAAGATTTCTTATATTTACTAAGCTGCACCAACAAAAAAAAGAGCAGTATTTCTTATGTATGAAAATTGTGTAGTAAACACTCGGTTATTTATCTTAGAGTACTGCCACCCATCACCATAGTATCTGGGCACTTTCAACATACCATCAGAAACAATGAAGTCCCTAGTGGACTTCATAGAGTCTCTAGTCCTTCTCCCTGTTTCAGGGTAAACACTTGGCTGGAGCACCTGTTTTTGTTTGCGTTTAATTCTATGAGTTTACTTTTGTTTGGGTTTTTAGATTGATATGTTTCAGGGGTTTTTGGAGGAGTTATTGTTTGGGTTGAAGGCATGCCAAGGTTGTGGTTGTCACTCTTATGGTGGAGAGGTCCTTACAATATTTAGAATGACACTGGAACCATCATTAGATTAAATGACTGATTATACAAGTGAGATTGTAATTCTACACAAAGATGTAAGATAATCAGTGATTCCTTTTTGTAATATATTAAAGGGGGGGGGGTCAATATTAAAGTGATAACCATGTTGTCATTTCACATTATTAAAGTGAAATTAAGAAGATACCTGAGGAGGATAATATGGAATTGTAAGAGGGGAAAAAAAAATCGGAAACCAGTGCAGATGTGGATGTGGGGGACATAGGACATTTTAATCCTACAAGATATGAATACACACAGGCACAAAGTTATTGGAGCAAAGTTACAGATCAAATCAGGATGTAGCTATGAGGAACCATTAGCACTCCCAGTTTGTTGTGTGGCATTTCCAGGACTTTTTTTTTTTTTAGTAGCCTCACAGTTCCTTTTAGCTGGAAATGGGAAAAAATATTTTTATATATATCTATATCTATCTATATATACACACACACAATGTGTTAGCAGGTGGTAAACTAAAATTTGGGATGAGTGGCAATGGAGAAATTAACATATCAAATTAAAATGCAAAAAATGGAGAGATGAAATTAATGATACCTGAAAATTCACAAAGGGGAAGGTAATTAAGGTGCATAATGGAGGTTGATTGTGAAAATCTCCAGTAAAGAGGATTTATCAACAGCAGTAAGAGGTACAGAAAGCATAAATGACAACCTATCCTTGGGGGAGAGGGGGGTGGGAAGATAGGAAGTGAACTTGAGATTTTATCCAAGGACTATAACCAGAGCAATACCTAATAAACCACAAGGAAGTGAAAATTACTTTAGAATACCTTCATGACCCTCTGTAATGAAAAGTATTGCATTGAATCATTACTGTAGAAATGCTGGATAACTTAAAATTAATATGAGAATAAAACATTTTTTAAAAGATGTCACATAAAAATCTTTGTGACCCTCTGTTGCTTTTTATAAAAATCTTTGGATTTGAACACTGACATAATTAATCAATGTTTAAAAAAAAAAAAAAAACACTCCTCAAAGTCTAAAAATGAAAGGAGGCGAGAAGTAACTTACAGAAAACCTTGGGTAAAGAGGCCACTAATCATGATACTATAGCAGGGTAAGGGAACATCTCTCCACAATTTACAGTAACTACATACAAATATAGTTTTGGAAGCATGATTCCTCCTTGCCAAAATAACATGGTTTACTGGATAGTGGAATTGTGCCAGGACTGAAATACCTATATAATGAGAACTTCTTAAAACACAACAGTATCTACTTCTGATGTATAGAGACAACTGACTTTGTGGAGGGGAAAAAAAAATAGAGGAAAGAGGATATGTTTTGGAGAAGTTGTAGACAAAATGGAAGAAGGGGAATGTGGGCGGGGGAGAAATGACTTTAGGGTAAGCAGTCTTTCCTCTCATTCTTTTCTATTAACAGTAATAAACAAACTACATTTAAATGTTGGTGTGGGGCTATATCACCTCAGCTCTCACTAACTAAGCAGGTTTAATTCTGGTCAGTAATTGGATGGGTGTTCCTCAAGGAAAACTAGGTCACCTCAGAAAGCAGCAGTAAGAGTTAGTACTCACCCAATGACCCAGCATGATGCTAAGGCAACACATTACTGAAGATGTCATCCGTTGTGTTTAGAGTCACACTATTACAAAGTTGGAAGGCAAATCAGAGGAAGACCCACTATTCCTTTTATGGAGTTTAGTTCCACAGCCTTGAGATCTGCAATGTTTTCAAGCTGAGGAAACCAGATTAGACCCACTAAGGCACCCTAGCATGGTATCAAGGTACAACCATTACATCATCAAAACAGTTCATTCGTGGATCACATGCTACCTAGTAGTAACAGCTTGAGAGACTTGTGACCCAGTAGCGTTTAAGAGATGATTAACCAATTTATGTGCGGCACAAACAGCTAGATTTATGTCTAATCCAAAGGAAAGGTCCAGACCACCTGCAGTCAGTAAAGACAGTTTTCCATTTCTCTCTCGTCCATGTAGTTTCAGTTGGATAGGCCAACCTTAGAAAAATAAGATTCAATGAGCTTTCTTGAATCCAACCTTTTGTTTCTACCCTAATTGAGATTTCTCCCCTGTATAATAAAATTACATGTGTTACAAATTAAGCTAAGCGCCAGTAAATGGCATCTGTTTGAACAAAAGGAAGAGATTATAGATCAGACAATGGATGCCACTAAACAGTCAGGCTTTGGTAAAACTGTTTTACTTTTACCTTTACATTTACCTTTTCTGTTTTCAAAAACTGCATCTTACCTCAAGGTCTCTTAAATAACCTTGAATGCCTTATGAAGCTGCAAATTGTGCCAGACACCTGCAAACTTCCTAGAGAGAGTTCATTACAAAATGTTCTCAGTCATTTGCTTTTTATGGGTCAGGCACATTTAGTGTGCATTAGGTTCAGGGGCATACTCGTAACATAGCTCTTTTCTCCACAGGTAATGTCAACAGATGGATAAGGAAACCAGAATTTATAGGAGCTAGTTGGTTTGCCAGTCTAGAAATTCCTGCCATTAGGGTAAAATGGAAACACAATTTCAGGCACCTTATACTCTAATGTAAAAATTTAGAATGTGTGTTACACTTGGAAATGTTAAGTTTAAAAATAATGCAGAGTATAATATGTTTGCTAAGAAACTAATATGCGGTTTTCAAAAAAAATTCCTTATGAGTTTTCTGTGTGTTACTGTGCTGTTTAGTAAGGTACCCCATCTCAAGCTGATTATTCTCTCCTCCTTTCCCACCCCTATCCCTTTCTCTTTAATAAGCTCAAGAAGTTCTTTGTTCGCTAACTTCCATGAGAAGTGATTAGGAAAACAGTCTTCCACTGCTCCCCCTCTAGGTGATGTAGCAGAACTGGCTGTTTTTGCCAGAGCCCAAATCAGCCATAAGGATAAGATTCTAAGCATCTACAAAAGGTATTAAAAACAAGAAAAAGTGATTTTGTTGCAGAGATGACTTATTCTTATCTGAAGATAGATATTTAACTTTAACAGTGTTTCTTCTTTTCATTACTAATTTTGTAAAGGAAAGTTTCCTACTCAATAAATTCTACAAAGCCCTTGGATAGGTTAGTCTCTTTCCTAGAAGCAGGCAGAAAATAATTTTGCCATATAGTGACACCATCAAGAAAAGAGGTAGAGAGACTGTTAGTATTTCATAACAGCATTGATCTCATAAAACTGCTAGCATCTATATAGCTCTTTCCATGCTCTGTATACCCTTTGACAGGCATATTCAGATTTTGGGGTTTGGTTCAGGGCCAGCTCTATTTAAAAAATAAAAAAAAATTAAAAAAAAATTACTATTCTTCTAGAAATCAATCCTGCAAAGACTTCCACCCAAGCTTAACTCCATGCACAGTGAAGTCACTGGGACTACTCAGGGGCATGAAGTTAACTTCCTGCAAGAGTTTAAGCAAAATGGGGTGTGTGCACATGTACACTAAGGGAGCTTGATGCTAGGACCACACACAGTATTGCCAGCTCTCAAGCATTCAAATATGTCAAATGTGTCTTTAAAATCACCAGATTTCAAAACATTTTCAGTTCTCCTTATTTGCTCATTTGAGTTTTGAACCTATAGGGCTCACATTTTCAAGTGTTCATCTACAGCCATCTTCTTAGTGGATGCCCAATATGCCTCAGGTGGCACGTGACCAGCAGGATTCATAACCAAAGTTGGTCCACTGGTTGCATCATTAGCTTCCCCAGCTTGGGCCAGCTACTGATGGGGAGTGCGACATGAACATTGGCCCATACCTTCCATCTACAGCCATGAGGGCTAGAAACTTGCTTTCTTCAAAAGTGAAAGCCAAGATTCCCTCATAATGACAGTACTCTAGAAGATTAGAGTCTTGGGATATTTGGCTTTTCTTAAAAGTCAGGAGAGTTGGCCACACCACCATAGCCATGTGCATTCAATGGAATTCAGAGGCCACTTAGACATTAGATTTCAAAACAGTCAATTTGAGGAAGCTGAAAGATATATTGAGTTTGATATAACAGAAAAAATGTTAAAGTCAATGATTGTTAAGCAGTCTGGAGAATCCTAATGGACACTGGCACAGGCTACAGTTTCACAGGCATGGAAAAATGCAGTCAATTAGAAGTGAAATATGTGGCATGAAGGACTACTGAAAAAATCCAGTGGAAAGGGAGATGAGGGGAGCGGATCAAATAAGACTATTGACAGCAAGTTAAGGCTTGCAGGGAAAGATAAAGGCAGCATAATAACTAATTGCTAGCTATAGCGGCCAAGAGGAGTCAAAAAGTATTTAATTATATGAAAGGGAAATGGAGCAAAGTAAGTCAGGGATGGCGGGGGGAGGAGGAATCCTCTGCTCAGTTACATGGGTACCACTTTCCCTCAAATTAATGGGATTTACACTGGGGTAACAGAATTTCACCCTGAGTATCTATAAAGTTTCCCTGGCAATGAGGTCTAGGGTCTCCCAAGGGAAACAGTGGAAACTCCTTTGCTTGAGTTAATTATTAAGAAAGAAAATACACTGAGGAGACATCTTAAATCACCAGAACAGATAAAATAACCTAGACTTTTCCCATCACTAATTCCTATTAATCTGTGATCCAGAATACTAGCAGAATTCTCCCCAAAGAATTTATCAGTCAGAATATCCAGTTTCAATATCTGATGGGGAAAGAAAACTACTAAACATAATGGGCCTGATGGGGCTATGCTGATTATTACCACCAGCTGAGAATTTCTCCCCCCCCCCCTGAAATAAATTTTAAAATCATCCATAAATATATCAGCACAGACTGACACCCATGTATGGGCTAAACAATGAAAGGAGTGTCTAGGAGCATCCCTTGTTCTTTACATCATTCAAGCAAGGGCCTCTTGCAATTGCAGTCTCCATGCTTGGGTAAGCCCAGGAACCGATGTTCCCTCAGTACACCTTTGGGGGCACCAATCTCAAAGGGTATGGAGGCAAGGCCATGGAGCAGGAGCAGTCCTCCAGCATGCTGGACCTTTAATGAGTATCTCAAGCCTATTTTGGGATGTAGTAGAAGAGTTATCCATAAGCCATCCAAAACAGCCTTCCTTGGCAAACTTATTTCATTTTTAACTGTACATCTTGTTTTAAAGCTGGTTCTGTTTGACCTTTTCCATATTATTATGTTGACCTATGACCCTGTTTTTATTTGTAAATTTGATATTTCATCCTTTTTCTCTCTCTCAGAAAAAAAATATTGGTAAAGACATTATGAAGTACAATGTTGATAGGTTTAACGCTCGTTAGATTGAAACATGCTGGGGAGCAAGTAAAAAAAAAAACCAAATAAATAATTGGGTTGCTAGGCTTTTTTACTATAGAAAAGTCTGTTATTAGTGAGAGGCCTGGCATGGTAGGCTTTAGTTAACTAAAAATCAAGTCTTTGGCTAAGTTAATGCAGGCCTGAGGACTTATCCCCAATCCATTAACTCATCTTCTCATTCTGTGTAAAGAAGTGCCCACAGAAGGAGGTGTACTCTGCAAGCTTGCAAAAGTTCTCTTAGGGGGACAGTGTGGGGCAATTTGCAATACTTTATCTAGTAATTAGGCAGTTAATAAAGCATATGTCACTGCAGTATAAAAAAATTGATTGACAACTGCTTAGGTCAGTGACCAGAAGTACAGTTATGGATACCTGGAATACCACATAGGTAGGGGCAGGAATAAAGTTTATGATAAGGAAAAGGGTCATATATGGACATCCATATGGTTACATAAAGAATGGGATTTGACTTTGTTCCCTAAATGTTGGATGTGTGAAGTTCCTGATACAGTGCCAGCTCATTTGTGAAAAGAGCAAGATCTTGGTTTTCCATAGGTCTTCAGAATGCGAGTGCATTTCAAGTCTTAAGAACTCGATCTCTGTTTTGTGTATAGGTATTAATGAACGGACTTATTTCACCATTAAGTGAGGCTTATATTTACATTCATTATCACCATTACCACTACAATGAACAAGAAACTTGTGTAGCCACCTGAAAGGAGAGCTAAAATATTAATAATCCTCATACATACTTACAATTATTGATCAAGCTACTTTGGTGTCCCAATCAGGATTGGTGTGAAATGCAGTCCAGACTTGAGTCCTCCAAGACAAAGCTGGTTAAATGCAAGAGACTTCTGGGTCATCCAAGACAACCTGGTTCTCTGGGCAGTCTATCAGTTAAGCACTAACCTGAAAGATTAGTAGTAAGTAGTTTGTAACACTATTTCTTTGTGAAGGTGAGAGAAAGAAACAGGGAACTTCCCCAGGTGGGATCAGCTATGTTTGGCTGTTACACTTGTCACCTCAGTGAGGTACAGCGATCAGACACTTTCACAGGTGGGAAAGGAACAGCTTCCAAGCACTTCCATGTGTTCTGGCCAATGCCCTTCAAGCACAGCGGGAAAGTGAGGGGAACGCCTAGGAGCTCACCATCATTCCTGTCCTAACTGACCAGAGACGCAGGTATAAGTTAGATAGTATATTTGTGTTCTTAGTAATTGGTGTATTCCTACATTTGTGTATGAATGCTCTTGTACTTATGTATAATTAATTCGAGGGGACCCTACAATCGGAGTGGTTCCAATAGGAGATAGAATAAATTGGTTAGGGAACAGTTGGCAAGAAGGAATGCCATCTGCTGATTTTAATAATCTATTATTAATAGAACCAAGTTATTTTGGCAAATCTTACAGGCATAGCTATTGCAAGCCAAAAAATATACATTGGACACTTCGGCTAATAA